ACTTTCAAAAACGCTCTACGATCAGTAGCCATTAGAAATAACTTCGGTGTTAGAATTAAAGTAAGTGATAAGAAACATGTTATTGCAACATGTTCTTACCAAACATGTCAATGGAGAATTCGGGCATCCCTTTGTGAAGATACTCAGTCTTTCCAAATAAGGAGAGTAGATGGAGTACACACTTGTCCTGATGTTAATCGTGTAGGGAATAAACTCGTCACATTTGCTTGGGTTGCTAATGAAATTCAAGATTTAGTGAAGAGGCACCTAGACATTCCACCGAAAGAAATCAAGAGCAATCTAGAGAAAGAATATGGTTTATCAGTACCTTACATGAAGCTATGGAGAGCAAGAGAACAAGCCCGTGATGCAATTTTCGGTTCAGTTGATGATAGCTACAAATGGGTACCAACATTGAAAGCTGAATTACTTGAAAGAAATTCAGGGTCACATATTACATACACATTTGATAGTTATGATCATGCCTTTCAAAGTTTTTATGTAAGTTTCAAGGTGTGTACTAATGGATTTCTTAGTGGTTGTAGACCTCTTATAAGTGTGGATGCTTGCCACCTTAAATCAAAGTATTTGGGTATGCTTCTATCATCAAATACCCTTGACGACAATAACGGTTTATTTAATATAGCTTATGTTGTGGTTGAGACTGAATCAAAACAAACATGGACATGGTTTCTTAGCAATTTGGGTGCTACTATTGGTGCAAACTTGCAACCACTTGCTTTCATATCGGACATGGAGAAGGGTTTAGGCAATGCTATAAGAGAAATTTATCCATAAGCAGAGCATAGAGTATGTATTCATCATTTGTGGAAGAATATAAAAAAATTTCCATTGTAAAGATGGGCAAAAACTTCAAGGGTTGGTTTGGACAGTAGCAAATGCTTACACAAGCATAGAGTTTTATAAGAAGCTTGTTCAGCTATCGAACGTAAGTCCAACAGTTCACTCATTACCTTACAAGTGGTCTAGAAGCCAATTCATGATAGGGATTAACCATGCCGCCAATACTAACAATTTTGCTGAATCATTTAATTCATGGATTGTTGAAGCTAGAAATAAACCTATTGTTGACCTGGTTGATATCATTCGTGGTATGCTTATGGAACAAAGGGCTATGCAAAAAATGAATAGCATGACTTGGCATCGAGAGTTAGTACCGCAAGTGGAAGAGTACATAAGGAATATTACAACCATTAAAGATCATCTAATAGTCAGTCAATCAAGTGTTTGGAAGGCTGAGGTGGAGGGCGTACATTCAAGACATATTGTTGAAGTTGAAAAACGAGAATGCACTTGTAGGGTGTGGGAGGTGACCGGACTTCCATGTATCCATGCCATGGCGTTCATTGGCATGAAAGAACACTCATTGTGGCATTCATACATTGATGAACACTACTATGTAGACAGGTAAAAATAAACTTCATTAAATTACTTAATATTGTTAACATGTTCCATAACAACTGACCTTGGAGATGTTACAAAAATTAAGCTTGAGTTGTTACATGAGTTTCTGGAACTTTTTTCACTGAGTTAGTAGAGCTGATTTTGGCCCCCATTTCACTAGTTTGACTGCACATTGATAGAATGATTTGATGAATAGCTTTTGTATAATAATATGATGACATAGAATTAGGTATTGACAGACTTCTACCAAACAACACAATTTAATCAAAACACCATTTATATCAAAAGTTTGCAAGATACAAGTTCTTCAATAAAGATACAACACACACACTACAAACACAACAAAAGTTGACTTCCACGACACTATATCAATAGTCAAAAGATGTTCCATTACAAAATTGTTATGCAAAATACATCCTAATGATGATGTCGATAGCAACTAAGACAATAAATACTTTCATCTGAAATATGAGCAAGTCCAGCTTCTTCAAAAGCTTCTCATCTATGCCTCTCCAAGCATAATGTGTGTCAAGAGAAGGCTCTTCTAATTCATCTATCCATTTAAAAAAATTGCAATCGTAATCTGTTCGATTATGAATGCACCTATAAAATTGTCTGCCTCGATTAAGTCCTCGGTAGCAAGTGAACACTACACACTTCAAATGACAGTGACAATAAACTTGAGAATGCTGCCGTGATAGAATGATTTGATGAATAGCTTTTGTATAATAATATGATGACATAGAATTAGGTATTGACAGACTTCTACCAAACAACACAATTTAATCAAAACACCATTTATATCAAAAGTTTGCAAGATACAAGTTCTTCAATAAAGATACAACACACTCACACACTACAAACACAACAAAAGTTGACTTCCACAACACTATATCAATAGTCAAAAGATGTTCCATTACAAACATTGTTATGCAAAATACATCCTAATGATGATGTCGATAGCAACTAAGACAATAAATACTTTCATCTGAAATATGAGCAGGTCCAGCTTCTTCAAAAGCTTCTCATCTATGCCTCTCCAAGCATAATGTGTCAAGAGAAGGCTCTTCTAATTCATCCATCCATTTAAAAAAATTGCAAAGGTCATCTGTTCGATTATGAATGCACCTACAAAATTGTCTGCCTCGATTAAGTCCTCGGTAGCAAGTGAATACTACACACTTCAAATGACAATGACAATAAACTTGAGAATGCTGCCGTGTGTCTTGCCTAATAGAAGAATTTACTGAACTCATTGGGGATGAAATACGGCAGAGAATCTATCAAATATGAAAAAAAAATTATGTAAAAAAAACCTAAAGCAGATTTTGTAAAATACAGTGAAAAAAAAAAAACCTAATTTATGTAAAATTCTGACAAAAAAATTCTGTAAAATACAGTGACAATAAACTTCATCCATTTTGCTTGCTTCATCAAAACTTAAAGCAGATTTTGATGCTTGCTTTATCAAAACTTAAAGCAGATTTTGAAAGAAATAAAAAGCCCAGATGACAACGACCAAAAAAAGCAAGACAGCAAAATGCGGCAAGGAACCAAACCTATGGAGCATATGCAAAGGCAATGCAATCCAACGTCACGAGAGAAATGCCTTCTTCCGCGAACACACCCCGGATCACTTCGAACTACCGAGCAAGATGGAGCAGATGCAGCGGAGCACAGGAAGGGAAGAGCTCGCGATTTCGGGGGATAACGTTGTGACCTAGATAAGGGACGGAGTGATATATTTGAGGTTAGATTTGTGTTAGGGTGGTGTAAATGAAATATTTATGTTTTAGGTGTTAAATATGTAAAATATGTAATATAAAATGGCATGGCTGTAAAACCCCTAAATTTAATTATAAGAATTTTTTTTTAGCAGGCAATACAACTTTACTTTTTAACCATCAAATTAAAATTTTTAGAAGAAATATTGCATGTGAAATAGCGCAAGTTGCCTGCTATTTTCCTATGGATGGCTACGTTGTTGGCGGGACTTCCACCTATAGATGAAGCCTTGAACAGCTTCGTAAGCTTGAATGCTTTGTTTTCTTCGCCTAATTTAATCCAATCTTTTTGCTCGTTTCCTATAAATTTGAACCCTTTTTTTATCTTCTATTTCAGCCTTTTGCTTTTAACTAACGATACTATAGTAATAGTCATTTTTAAATAATAAATGAAAATTAAGAAAAATTTTGGAGCGGTTAATTTGGAGGGGTTTTAGATTTATTGAATTATTGTATTTAAAAAGCATTTATTTTGATTTTTAGAATATTTGTTGTGACGCGTAAAGCGAATTCAAAGTGTTTTTCTAAAGAGTTTTGAATGTCTATTGTTGCATGTCGAAATATTCATGATGATAAATAGTGTTTAGTCCTAGCTTCATATGAAAATCTAGCATGCACATAAATGAGAGAAATATGCATGAATTATAAGACACAGTAAAATTTTAACATGGAAAATCAAGAAAATGGAAAAAATCATGAGGTATCGTTCAATTAAAATAATTTCACTAGCGTTTTTCGTTGATTACAAATGATGTCTTTCCGTGGGGGAAGACGTTGGTTCAATATAACAAATATACATTATATAGATCATATTAAATATTTGGATTTAAAAGCATCCAATGACTTGTGAGCTATTCTAAAGGGAGCATTGGCATGCTCATTTGGTCGGTAGGACCATAGTCCAGCGATGGTGGCCGAAGGGATCATGGTCGAGCCATATAGATCAAAGGAGTTTTAGTCAAGTGATAGAGGTATGAGGGATCATTGGTATGAGGACCATATTCGGGCGACAAAGGTTAGTGACCGTAGTCGGGCGACTAAGGTCATAGGGACCATAGTTGTTGAGCAACGAAGGCCAGAAGGATTATAGTCAACTAGTTGGAGGAACTGTTGTTGGGTGACAGAGGTCAGAGGGACTATAGTCAACGAGCGAAAAAGGTAAGAAATACATAGTTGGTGTGTGATAGATGTCAAGATCATTGCATGCGACGGTGGTCAGATGGATTGTAGTTGGATGACGAAGGCCAAAAGGAAATTAGTTGGAGGGTGATGTTGGCCGATTAGACAGTAGTTGGGCGATGGTGATCGCAGGGACCATAATCGGGCTACAATAGTCGAAGGAACTATAGTAGGTGATGGAGGTCGAACTGATCGAAGTTTATATCTATTTAGTTTTTTATATATTTAATTCTATATTATAAAAAATTAACTTTTATATATTTAATTATACATATAAATGATTTATGCAAATATTTTTATAATGTTAATTTTTTATACAATTTATATTTATAAATTTTATGTAAATATGTAATATAAAGCTACAATAATTTATATTAAATTATCCGATAACAATTTTCTAATATAAATTTTTTAAATTAAAATTTTTTATATTAAAAAATAGTTTAATAAACAGTACAAAAATTATCCCAAACAAACAAACAAAGCTTCCACCAGTCGAATTATAAAGGATCTCTCCTTTGGATTTGCTGTCCTGTCGAAATTTCACTTTCAAACGAGCTATTAGCGTAGTCTTTCTCTCGTTTTTAAAACACGAAATAAGAATATTATCTTTACGCCAACTTGATCCAAATTCCAAACATTCTATCTTCTCCTTTGATTATAAATCTTTACAATACCACCCGTCTTCCTCCATTACCTGCTCCGATTTCCCTCGCAAGTAACCATGGCCGAGAGGCTAAACCCCCCAACTCTTCCCGCCACGATCGAGCTCAGTGACCTAACCGCCGCCTCCATTCTCGGTCGCGGGGGCAACGGCATCGTCTTCCTTGTCCGCCACCTCACCTCCGGGGAAACCCTTGCACTCAAATCAATCTCAAAACCCTCAAGCGATGCCGATTTCCGGAGAATCTGGTTCGAGCGCGACGTCCTGCTCGAACTTCAACACCCCCTCCTCCCTTCTCTCCGCGGAATCGTCTCCACTGATAAAATCGTCGGATTCGCCATCGATTACTGCCCCGGCGGCGATCTGAACACCGTTCGTAGCTGCCAAACTGAGAAAATGTTTTCGCTGGAGACGATACAGTGAGTGAGTTCACTCAATTAATTATCTCAAACTGCTTATATGCTCTGCATTTAGTACTGATTTCCTCTTCTGATACAAAAGCTTTTACGCCGTGGAAATGGTGATCGCATTAACCCACCTTCACAATTTGGGTATCATCTACCGCGATCTCAAACCGGAAAATGTTATGATTCAGGAGAACGGCCACATAATGCTTATCGACTTCGACCTCTCGACCAAACTTCCAACATCCAGATCATCCCCGAAAACGCCTTTCACCCGGTCCGAAACCCTCCTCGCCGAATCGAAACGAAAAAAGTTACGCTCTCTGTTCCGATGCTGCTCCCGCCACGCCGGAGTCACGCCGGACCTCCCCACCGGCGATCCCCTGCTTCCTTCTCCGGCGAAATCGAAATCGTTCGTCGGCACAGAGGAATACGTTGCGCCGGAAATCATCATTGGAAAGGGCCACGACTTCGCCGTCGATTGGTGGGGCCTTGGCGTCATTCTATACGAGATGCTGTATGCAAGAACACCGTTTCGAGGGCAGAATCGGAGGGAGACATTCCGCCGGATCTTGCACGAATCGCCGGATCTCGTCGGAAAACCGATGCCGCTGAGGGATTTGATTAGACGGATGCTGGTGAAGGATCCGTCGAAGAGGATCACCAGCGAGGAGATTAAGCGGCACGAGTTTTTCAGAGGAGTTGATTGGGATTTAGTGGTTGACATTGCGCGGCCACCATATATTCCGATGCGGAAGGATTGGGATGAAGGGATCGAGGGCTTGGAGGTGGAGAAGATCGTCGAGAAAGTTTTCGAGAAAGCGCTGGCAGCGAAGGAAACTAGTGTGACGGAAGTGAGAAATTTACTCCATTAATGGGGATTTTACAGTCTTTTGATTTGGAAATCGTTTGCGGTAAAGTTGCATAGTTATTTTGGAAGGGAAATCTACTAATAAGCTAATTTTCGGGCGATTTTCAACCCGAAAGTTGTGAATTTATGAGAAAATCAGAGCTTTTCCTTTTCAACCTTAAAATCAAAGATAAAGAGAGTAGAAATTCCTACCATTATTTTGGTCGTATTTTTATTTATACTAAATTTATGTGCTTAAAATCATCAGTTGCTACTCACATGGCCTAACTTTTAATTTGAATTTATAAATATAAAATAGGTATAAATAAAAAATTATGTAAAAATATTCGTATATAAAATTATATCAAAATAAGCATAATTTTTTTTGAATTTTTTTGGCATGAAATTGTTTGAGAAGAATCCTCTGGCGTTGCTGGCCATAGCCGTTAGGGAGATAGGGACGACCTGTGTCCTCTTCTTCAGATTCTACTTCCCATGCTCGTCGATGACGAATTTCTTCCTCCTCGGAATCGGATGTCGCCAAGAACGTCTGTGGAGTTCCCCATTGTCTCTCTATTCCCCCGTCTCTTCTTCTCTGTACGCGCCCGGTGGTTGGATTTTCTCCATGACCACGGAGCGGTGGTTGTCTCGCCCTTCCGAGATTGAACTCACGGCGAAAATCAGTGGCTAGCTGTCGCACCTCAGTGGTCAGCTCGTCAATCCTCCGGTTGACGTTCTCCTGGTTTACCCAAAGCGCATCGAGAGTTCTGACTCCCTCCGATGCAGGTTCCTTGCCTCGCTCTGCCATTCGGTCTTCTGGTTATCGGGCTCTGATACCAATCTGATGCCGTCGGATCTGCAAATAACCAGAATACAAGGAGAAATGCAAGACAATGGAACAGTAAAAAAGCACTGAACTACAGTGCTCTGTATATTTCTGTATATTTCCAAAAGGAAGAAGATGATCAAAAAGTCTGCCCTCGTTCTCCCAACCATTTCCTATATAACAGCTATTAACGAGAATGCTAAAAATACGGAAATTTGCTATTGGTTGAAAATATAGAGTAGTGCGGTACGAAAAGCAAAAAGGGATTAATAGAAAGCTGCCACGTATCTGTTCGTTAGACTGGCTGTGTGTTGTCCCGCGGAGTAGCCCTGCAGTCCCTTGCATCAGTCCTCCCCGGTGTCGGAAGAGCTCGACTCCGACGAGCTGAACTGAAGAACGCCATCATCGGGAGGAAAATACGGCCAGATATCAGATACATTAAAGGTTGGAGAAGTGTTGCAGTCAGCCGGTAATGCCACGGTATAGGCGTTATCGTTTATTTTCGTCAAAATTGGTAGTGGACCAATCTTTCTCCTTGCTAACTTTGAATATTGGCCCACCGGAAATCGTTCTCGGCGGAGCCTGATCATCACGAGATCCCCTACATTGAATATGCGCTGACGACGATGGACATCCGCGGCCCGTTTATATTTTTGGTTTGTTTGAATCAACTGTTGGCGCACTTTGAACAACATATCTGTGAACTGGTCCGTGAAGGTGGCCGCCGCCTTGGATTGACACTTTGGTAACACCGCCACATCCAAGACTGTATTAGGACTTTTCGTATATACGATACTGAAAGGGGAGGTACCTGTAGACCTATTGGTCATAGCGTTGTAGGAGAACTCAGCCCGACTAAGCATTTCTTCCACTGCCGCGGATGGTCTTGTACTAGACACCGAAGTAAGCTACCCAGTGTTCTGTTTACAACCTCCGTTTGTCCATCGGTTTGGGGATGATAGGCTGAGCTAAGGCGGATATCAGTACCCAAACGCTTCCACAACTCACGCCAAAAATGGCTAATAAATTTTACGTCTCGATCAGACGTTAAGCTGCGGGGAACTCCATGTAGGCGGACGATTTCATCGAAAAAATGGTGTGCAATGATCACGGCATTGGCAGTCTTTTTGCAGGAGATGAAATGAGCCATTTTAGAGAACCGGTCGACGACGACCATGATTGAGTCATTGCCTCGTTTAGTCCGCGATAATCCCAGAACAAAATCTAAACTTAGATCTTCCCAAATCGATTCAGGTACCGGAAGAGGAAGATATAATCCTGTATTTTGTGAACCTCCTTTGTAACTTTGACATACTAGGCAGCTGGCAACCATACGAAACACATCTCGTCGAAGGCGTGGCCAGTAGAATCTGGATTGTAGTTGTCGGAGGGTATTTTCACTACCGGCGTGTGCCGCCAGGGCTCCCCCGTGTGCCTCACGGATGAGCTGTTGTCGCCATGAGGAAACCGGAATGCAAAGAGCATTGTTTTTGAACAGATACCCGTGTCTGATCGTGAAATCTTCCGCCCTGGTCTGTGTTTGACATTGCGCCCAATGAGGACCGAAATCAGGGTCTGTTGGATATAATTCTTGAAGACACGCCAATCCCGTAATCTCGGTTTGTAATGTGAACAGTAAGGTGCGTTTGCGGCTTAAGGCGTCAGCGACCTTGTTTTCACTTCCAGGTTTATGCTTAATTGTGAATACAAAGCGTTGGAGGAACATTACCCATCGGGAATGCATTCTGTTAATTGTCTTTTGGCTGTTAAGGAACTGTAATGCTTTGTTGTCACTGCATAAGATGAATTCCTGGTGAAGAAGATATTGCTCCCACTGTTTGAGAGCGCGGACAATGGCATACAACTCCTGTTCATATGCGGCCCATTTTTGACGGGAGGGACAGAGCTTCTCACTGAAGAATGCGACGGGTCTGCTGTTTTGAGTAAGGACGGCGCCTACTCCAACCGCTGAAGCATCTGTGCTTACTTCAAATAATTGCTCAAAGTTTGGGAGGGCCAAAACAAGTGCAGAACAAATGGCTACTTTTACTGACTCAAAACTCTGCTGCTGGGATTCAGACCAGCTAAACGTTTTAGCTTTTAATCCTTCGGTGATTGGGGCCATGAGGACACTGAAATTCCCGATGAATTTGCAGTAAAAATTTGCCAACCCGTGAAAACTCCGGACTTCAAAGAAGGATTGGGGCGTTGGCCATGCTGAGATTGCTTCAATCTTTACGGGGTCCATGGATACACCATCCGCGGAAATAACAAATCCGAGAAAAGAAACTCGCGGCACTCCCCATTCGCACTTGGTCCTGTTTATGAGCAGCTGCTGGCTTTGCAATGTTTCCAATATTTGGGAAAGATGTTGTAAATGCGATTGCCAAGACACGCTGAACACTAAGATGTCATCAAAATAGACAATGCAAAATTTGCCCAGGAAAGGTTTGAGTACCTCATTCATCATGCGCATAAAGGTTGAGGGCGCATTACAGAGCCCAAAGGGTAGCACCTTCCATTCATACAAACCTTGCGGCGTCTTGAACGCCGTCTTCCACTCGTCGCCCGGTCGAATTCGGATTTGATGATACCCGCTTCTGAGATCCAATTTCGAAAAAATGGAGGATCCGGTTAGCTGATCTATGAGCTCTTCAATTCGGGGGACTGGAAAACGATACTTGATCGTAATTTTGTTAATAGCTCTGCTGTCTACACACATCCGCCAACTCCCGTCTTTCTTCGGGACGAGCAATGCGGGTACCGCACACGGGCTTATGCTCGGTTGGATGAGCTATTTTTCAATGAGTTGATCCACGATCTCCTGCAGAGCACGCTGTTCCTTCGGGTTGAGACCGTAGTGCGGTAGGTTTGGTAAACTAGAACCCGGTATCAAGTCTATTTGGTGCTGTATGTTTCGCAGAGGAGGAAGTGTTGCAGGTAGCTCGTTTGGAGATATGGCTTTGAATTGCTCCAATAACTCTAGTATTTCACTGGGGGGCTTATCCTGAAGAGTGATGTTTTGTTGTTCTGTCATGATAAGTGCGAATAGAGGCTCTTCTAGCTTCCCGAATTGTTGGAGTTTGGATCCGCTTACTATGTGCAGTGCGGAAGAAGTGGATCCTTTATCAGCCGTGCGTTCCACTGTGCTAGGGAGGAGCCTCAACCGTTTACCCTTCCAGTCAAGGGTATAGCTGTTAGCACGGCAATCATATACCGCTCCGGCGTCGAACTGCCATGGTCTACCCAGTATCAAATGACACACGTCCATGTCGACAACGTCACAAACGACTTCGCACATATATTGTTTTCCAATTGAGAATGTGACTCGGCATGAGTCCGACACGGAAATTTCGACCCCTTTTTTAACCCAACTGATTTTGTAGGGATTAGAATTTTTGAAGGTCTTCAATTGCAAGCTTTGAACAACTGAACGAGAAATCACATTCTCAGTGCAGCCGCTATCTACCAACAGATCACACACTTTACCGTTGATAGTACAGCGTGTCCGAAATAAGGCGTGTCTTTGGGAATTTAAGCTTTGTCTTGGAGCTAACAGCAACCTCTCCATCATCGCAACAATAGGTTCTCCATCATCAGCGTAAACATCTTCCGTATCATCTTCATTAGCGGATTCGATTCCTCGAGACCCGCTACCCTTCTCTGCTTCCGCCAGTTGCACTTGTTGTCTTTGAGGACATTCGTTGGACTTATGTCCTTGCTGAAAACAACGGAAGCATTTAATAGTAGAAGGTTTGGTATAAGGATTGTCTTTACCTTGAGCTCTGAATTCCGTTTGGCCTTTGTTATCTTGAGACAGATTATCGCCCGTCCGATTTGATGTTTGCGTTCCGGCAACTGGATTTGGTTTAGCCGCTCCACTGGCATTCTGGATTGCTCCGGACTGTGATTCTTGCCAATGCCTGCGATTGTATGGCGTTTTGTGTGATCTACTCTGCTGCATTTCTGCCTTCATTGCAAAATTGACTGCCTGTGCAATGGACCACACCGAGTTGAGTTCCAATTTATCTTGAATACTATCTTTTAGACCTCCTATATATCTGGCAACCAATTGATTGCTTGTTTCATGTAAATTATTCCGGGCGCTTAACCGATTAAACTCTTCAGTATACTCGCTCACGGATCGGCCTCCTTGGACACAATGCTGATACCGCATATACAAGATCTGCTCATAATCAGTTGGTAGAAACTGAGAGCGAAGTAGTTGCTTTAATCGGTCCTAGCTCCGCACCGAACCCTTACCTTCTCTTAGTCTCATCTGTGAGACCTGTGCCCACCACGCACTAGCTCCCCCTTTTAGTCTACAGGCTACGTACTTCACCCGCTTTGCCGGCTCAATATCCATATAATCAAAGAAATTTTCTACAGCTTTCTCCCAATCGAGGTAATCCTCGATATGTAAATGCCCATCAAAAAAAGGAATATCAAGTTTCACCTTGAATTCGCTGTGATGCGTATTCCTCTGGCGTTGCTGGCCATAGCCGTTAGGGAGATAGGGACGACCTGTGTCCTCTTCTTCAGATTCTACTTCCCATGCTCGTCGATGACGAATTTCTTCCTCCTCGGAATCGGATGTCGCCAAGAACGTCTGTGGAGTTCCCCATTGTCTCTCTATTCCCCCGTCTCTTCTTCTCTGTACGCGCCCGGTGGTTGGATTTTCTCCATGACCACGGAGCGGTGGTTGTCTCGCCCTTCCGAGATTGAACTCACGGCGAAAATCAGTGGCTAGCTGTCGCACCTCAGTGGTCAGCTCGTCAATCCTCCGGTTGACGTTCTCCTGGTTTACCCAAAGCGCATCGAGAGTTCTGACTCCCTCCGATGCAGGTTCCTTGCCTCGCTCTGCCATTCGGTCTTCTGGTTATCGGGCTCTGATACCAATCTGATGCCGTCGGATCTGCAAATAACCAGAATACAAGGAGAAATGCAAGACAATGGAACAGTAAAAAGCACTGAACTACAGTGCTCTGTATATTTCTGTATATTTCCAAAAGGAAGAAGATGATCAAAAAGTCTGCCCTCGTTCTCCCAACCATTTCCTATATAATAGCTATTAACGAAAATGCTAAAAATACGGAAATTTGCTATTGGTTGAAAATATAGAGTAGTGTGGTACGAAAAGCAAAAAGGGATTAATAGAAAGCTGCCACGTATCTGTTATTGCATTAGCGTTCATTTAGAAGGTTTTGGTTCAAAGAAAAAAGAATCATAATAAAATAATATGTAGTGTAAAAAAATGTGATCTATTTTACTGAATGTAGAATAAATGATGGTTATTATTATTGTTATTATTATTGATTAGAAAGTAAAATGAAAGTAATTTAAAGATCAATGATGGTGGCAATTAATGGTTGGTAGCAGTCTGAGGAGATTGGTGGCTATAACTGTCACATGTTGATTGATATCGCCACCACCATCAATCGGCTACGACCGATGGTGATATCAATGACCTGTTGATTGATATTGCCACCAGTAGCAACCAGCGACGACAAGTGGCAGAACCAATCATCGCTAATTGACATTGCCACCAACTATTGCCAACAGTGGCAGTAAATGGTAGTGTTGGGCAGCATCGGTGACAAACTATGATGAAAATGATAGAGAATTTATATATATTGAAAATCAATCAAATCTAACGATTTACAAATGCATCAAAATTAAGCCACAAGTTGATTTCTAAATACTTTAAAATTTTATTTTGCATTTCTTTTACTTTAAAATACTAATATTTTCAAAAAAATTCTATTTAAAATTCTCTTCACATCTTTTACTTCAAATCAAACAACTCCCATGCTCCAACAAACACTACTTC